CCAGCACTGAAAATGAAAAGAAATGATATTATTGAAAGTGCTTTGTAAGCAAAAATATGAGGATGCAACAAGAATTATCATTATTTGCTCCATCCAGGCAGTCTAAATTGTGCCGTGGTAAGAAACAGCAACATCTCAGTGCCTTAAAACAAGTTTCTTTTTTGCCCCTGCGACGTCCACTGCCCGATTGACAACTCTCAGGGCATTTGCCTTTTATTCATGTTGATGGAGGAGTAGGAGCCTTGCTCACCTGGAACTCATCTCACTGGCTGGTTATTCAGGGGCCCTGCTGACTGAACCATTGTGACACACACCTGTTGTTTCTCCCCTCTTCTGTGTCCATTTTCCCTTCTGCAAGACCACTTGTAGTTTTCATTGGGACAGCACCCATTTCATGATTCTTTGGTAGAATGAGTGGGCTGTGATCTAGGTTGGCCCAACAATACCCAACCCCAATATTTTGTTGGAAATATTTAAAAAAAGGTATATTTCTGCAGAGGTTGTGAGACCAAAAGGATACATGTCTGGGACTTCTAGCAGTTGCCTTGCCACCACCAGAGGGGAACCTATCTGACAGTGAACCCAAAGAGCCAATCTCTTCCTTCCTTCCTTCCTTCCTTCCTTCCTTCCTTCCTTCCTTCCTTCCTTCCTTCCTTTCTTCTTTCTTTCTTTTCTTTCTTTTTCTTTCTTCCTTTCCTTTCCCTCCTCTCCCTCCCCTCCCCTCCCCTTCCCTTCTTTTTTTTTTTTTTGGAGTAAGCCATTCAAACTGGATGTATGTCCCTTGTGGTTAAACGAGCCCTGATAATATAGTCACTCATCCTATATAATAAAGAGCTAATATGCAAATGGTCATCATGCCCCTTTGCCCTCGCGCCCTCACACCCTTGCGCCAAACTGCTCAGATACTCAACACTGGGGAGAGAGGAAGGGGGCCCAGCCAGGCACAAATGAGCTCATGAGAGAGGAATGGGGACCAGCCAGGCTGCGGCCTGGGAGAGGAATAAGCTGCCTGCCCCATGGTCCTGGGTGCCAGCGGGTGTGCCTGCGCCTGTGCCTGTGGCCCTGGAGAGGGACAAGCCACCCGCTCCGTGGGCCTGGGCGCCTGTGGCTGTGGCCCAGGTGAAGCCGCCTGCCCACAGTCCCCTGTGGCTGCAGCCATCCTGGGTGAAGCTGGCCCGGGTCCCGGGTGCCTGCAACCAGCCAGAGGAGGGAATCCTGGGTCCTGGGTGCGGGGCGAGGCAGAGGCAGTTAGGGGCGATCAGGCCAGTAGGGGAGCATTTAGGGGTGATCGGGCAGGCAGAGGTGTTTAGGGGCAATCAGGCAGGCAGGCTAGCAGTTAGGAGCCAGTGGTCCTGGTTTGTGAGAGGTGGTTGGACATCCCCCGAGAGGTCCCCGGATTGCAGAGAGGGTGCAGGCCAGGCTGAGGGACCCCCGCTGCCATGCACAAATTTCATGCACCGGGCCTCTAGTCTCCAATAAAAGTGTTGCCAGCCTGGTCAAGGACCTGGCAGTGCAGGTGAAGACAGGCATGTAGCCCCTTCACTCCAGTTCTAATCAGTCATCAGGGAAAATTGAAGACATGAGAAATCTGTCTCCTTGTTTATTCTCCCTTTCTAGCATTCTACTAAGTGGTCCATCATTCTTTGTCCAAGGAGACTAGCATCCTTAGGCTACTTAAGGAAAACTAAGGGGTTATACTAGTTGAATTCAGTGGACAAGACCTGGGCAGGAGAGGACAACAGGCGGACTACAGAATGCTAAATGAGATGAGGTGCACAGACTGGCTGCAGAAGTGTGTTTAGTTTAGCTCCATTAGGCAGGTGGGCGACAGGTGGAGGCTGGAATCTGAAGGAAAGGCAGGAGCTGGGTGCTAAGCCAGGAGGCGTAAGGCCACCAAGAGGTCCTCAACTTCAACACTGTGATGCTTTCAAACAAAGCCAAAGTCAGGAGGAGCCTGGAGCATCTGGGCGAGGGCTGGACTGAATGGCAGAGAGTGTCCCCACCAGCAAATAAAGCCGGGGGACATCAGGGGCCCCCTATGACTGTCACTGGAATAGAAGCGATTGCATTTTGCTGATTTTTCAGGGGCAGGTTTCTTTTAGTAATCAAATCCACTGAGCTCAAATATTGCAAGCCACAGTGTGGAAAAGGGTCTATACATATAGTAATGATTTTCATGCATGGAATGTACAACTAAAATGGTGTTTGAAACCCTCCTATCTTTTGACCGCAATCTGTGGATATCCTTGTGTGGCAAATAATGATAGAAAACATACACTGACATATTTAATCCTCCTCACACAACACTTTTAGGTAGTTGCTGTTATTTCTATTTGAAAATGAAAAAAAAGTGATCTCAGAACTATTATGTGACTTGCCCATGGGCCCCCAGCCAATTAGTGACAAAGCCAGGATTCAAGCCCAGGTAGGCTAGTGTTGGAGCCCACACCTTTTACAACAAATGGTGTAAGGAGAGGTCTTTCCCAGTGTCCCTGGACTTTGAACAGTAATTGTTCAAGGATGGCCTTACCTAACTTTAAGAACTACACTTGTTCAGTAAAAAGTAATCATGTATAGCCCTAGCCAGTTTGGCTCAGTGGATAGAGCGCTGGCCTGAGGACTGAAGGGTCCTAGGTTTGATTCCTGGGTTTGATTGTGGTCAAGGGCACGTGTACCTCAGTTGCAGGCTCAATCCCCGGCCCTGGTCAGGGTGCATGCAAGAGGCAACCAATTGATGCGTCTCTCACATCAATGTTTCTGTCTGCCTCTCCCCATCCCTTCCTCTCTCTAAAAATCAATAGAAAAATATTGGATTAACAAGTCATCATCCTATCTAATAAAGAGGGAATATGCTAATTGACTGCCACACCCTCAAAGATGGCAGTGCTCACAACCAATAGGAGGGAACATGCTAATTTGCTGTCACACTCTCAAAGATGGCAGTGCCCACAGCCAATAAGGAGGGAACATGCTAATTTGCTGTCACGCCCTCAAAGATGGCAGTGCCCACAGCCACAAGATGGCAGTGCCCAGTCCCCTCAGCCCCACTGGGGTGCCTGCCTCCTGAGTCCCCCAGTCCCCTCAACCCCCAAGCCTCCCAGGGCTGCCCAAGGCTCAGGTAACCAGGGCAGGCCGAGGCTTGCACTGCAGGCAGTGGCAGGAGCAGAGGTGTGGTGGGGCGTCGCCTTCCCCTGATCCCTGACTATGAGGGGGCAGGCCAGGATGAGGGACCCCCCCCTCCAGTGCATGAATTTTCATGCACCAGGCCTCTAGTATGTAAATAAACACTTAATATAAAGCACATTCCTTCTGCCCTCTTGTCTATTCTCCTTCTTTCTTTCACTTTCCTGAAGTTTCATTCCCTAATCTATAGTCTGAATTTGCATCATGTCTCACCGACTGGAATGTTATTCTTTAGTTCTGGTTTTATTACTGTCCATGCTCCTAGACCACTTAGCAATTCACAAGAGTCAAGTGCCCCTAGCCCTACTGAAAAGCCATCACTCATATGAAATGCTATGTAGGCTGCGACTCACTGCCCATGCAGCCCCAGGGTCCCGTGATGGCAATGCTAACGCCCTTTAGTGGGAGGGCCTGCAATTCCTCCCTGGTACTTGCAGAGTTGGGGGTGCCTCCAACCACTCTCAGTAAGGTTCTATTTACACAGCTCTCCCTGGGGTCCGCCTCCCTCCTGAGAAGTTTGGCTGTTTGTGGGTAGGGATGATCTCTCAACTTTTATTGCCCCAAACAATATCCTGTACAAACTAGAGGCCCCACTGCTATTTGAACTTAGGTTTAAACTTAAGATTTCTTCACATAGTGACTTTTGTAAGCATACTGCTTATTGTGTGAAAGCACTAGTTTAATTTTTCTAGAAGAAAAAACCTAATTCAGAGATTGTTCAGTGAGTAGCTAACTCCAAAATGTGCTAAAACTTTTATCCTATTCACCAACATATCCTATTCTGAACATACCCCTTTTTATTTTATTTTTCAACCCAAAGATTCCCTCTTGGTTTACTTTCATTTTCAGGAAGTAATTTCTTCTTATGTGCTTTTCTGTATTAATAAAAATGAAAAGACTGGATGCGGGTTCTAGTAAATGCATTTGGCCTGTCTCCCTATTACAGACTGAACTAATGATCCACCACAGCAGGAAATGGCTTTTCCTCCTCTAAATTCTTGAAACTTGTTGCATAAGCAATATAGTTGGTTCTTTTTGCATGCTGCCTGTTATTTCTACACTTGCATAATTTTCTCCAAGGAGACAATCTTTTGAAGGGCCTCTTGGTCCAGAGCTCAGCACAAAGTAGGCACTCACAAAATATTGGCTGTGAAAATAAATGAAGGAGTGGAGTAAAACCTGAGAATAGATTTCCTGACAGGAGATGTTTTAATATGGGCAAGTCCTTCCTAAGAAGCTAAATGCAGAAGTTTTCGTGACAATGGTAGTAGCACCAACCAGAAGATTTTAGCCTTTTGAGAATCCGGGATTTATTCATCCATCATCAGCAATCAAGATGTCAAAGTGATTTGGAACGCGGTGGACTAATTCTGCCCATGCTTATAGTATTTATGAAATGAAAGACTCCTATGTAGTAGTGCCTTTCATTCCTTATTCTTTTCTCCAAATTGTTGGATATCTCTGCAAATGTTACTTGAAAGATAACTAGTATGTCAGTTACTTCGCTGACAGTTTGTCAATGCCAGCCTTCACTAGAAATTCTCTAGCTTTAAACTATTATTTCTCTGCATTTCTTCAAAGGTGACGTCATCTTTGTAGAATGAAATGTCAGGCCACGAAAGATGATTTCAGGGCAGCCGATGGAAGAAGTATGATACTTTAAAGGTTTGTGTCAATGTGTGTAGAAGTCTGGACGCGCAATAGGCAGAAGAGCGACACGACGACTTCCAAAGAGAGTGCCTCTCTCCTTGACCCATTTTGACTAAACTTGACTTAATGGAGTTATGACAAAGAGTAGGAACCAAAACACATGGGGATCACAGAGGCTGTTATGTTTATTGTGCAGAACAGACAGTGATAATCCACTAGAGAAATATTTCCAACAAGCAAGCGATTCAAAGTACAATCATAGACAGCAACTCTACATGAAGAACAGAGAATAAAGTTAGAAGACACTCAAAGGAACAGGGAGAAAGTCAACTGCAGTTCAACGTCTTGATACTTTTCTCCTGCAAACATGCAGAAATGGTAGAAAAGTTAAATGTCCAGTCTTACTTAGCTGAGACCAACAACAGCGAAGAACAGTCCTATAAAATTTATCTCCCACAAAAATAAACTATATATATAAAAATTTTATGATGTTCTTACTGTTCCATTGGCCACAAGCTTTTTTCTTTTCTTTTCAGTATGAAAAATGAGGTATACTGGGGCTTAAGAGGTAGTCGTGTGTTTTGATTGTACAACATAGAGGAAATAAAAGAGTAACTTCATCAGAGATGGAAATTGCTCGGTTTCCGAGTTTGGCCAACATGAGCAACTGTGTCAGTTTTACGAGCTGGCCAATGAGGTTTCAGAAAGGCCCAACCAAAAGACATGGGACTGTTATTTTTATGAGCCACTGTTTATTTGCTTATTTAATGCACAGTTAACAGTGATGTTGAGTTTCCATTCTCTCCACAGCTCCTCTGGTGATTCACAACAGTGAGCCATCTGCCAGTCCAAGAGAGGTATGCGGTCTTTGAAGCTACCTCCCTGAAGCGGCTGGAAGAGAGATGGTTTTGAGTTTCATTTGGCTTCAGAACTAAAAGCCACACTGACACATGCCCTCATGAGAAACTACCTCCTGGCCCAGTTGATAATACCATGTTAAAAAGTCAGCACACGCACTAGGAGAGAAAAGAATAAAACTCTACATAAGAAGCGCTTCAAATAAATCTGGTTGAGACATATTACAAAAATCACATTTGTGTAAAGTACATGAAAATCTTTGTCAAGCATTTTCTCATATTCAACTAATCTTAAAAACACACATTTCTGATTGCATCGCAAAGGCCCAAGCTTGTTGCCTCTCACCTACAAAGCTTCAAGTTTCTTTGAAGGTTGGCTTTCTTTTATTTATTTATTTGCAAAAGTATGTAAAAATGTGTTCCTCTCTAGCAAACGTTTTTTACAAAAATAGCTTTGACTAGGGATAGCTGCAGTCTGAACTATGTCAAACGTTGGCAAAAATGAAGGCTGCAAGTAACAAGTTCATTCTTTTTGAAGTCTGGAGGTAGGTCTTTGCAAGTCAATTAGTCCATTTCCTTAAACAATTCATCTGAGGTACAAACTTGGAGGGTGATATTTAAACATTACAGTCAAATTCTGTGTGCTGTGTAGTGCGATTGAGGAGAATGATCCTTAAGAACCTAGGAGCGACTTGGTTAAAAAAACAAAACAAAACAAAAAACAACAACTATTCAAGTTAATGTAGAAATCTAGCAGAGAAGCTGAAACAAGTATTTGCAAAATTTTAATTAAAAAAAAAAACACCATAGAAAAATACAAAGCCATGCTGAAACACAGTAAGGAGACTGCTTCATTAACTGTGGGTTAAGTGTACAAAAAGAACTGCGGTTAGCATCACCTACCCATTAAATTTGTCTTTCTTTCTTGCATTGTTTGTGTATAGCAGCATGTAAAAAGTACTAGACTGTAAATTAAGTGTAACATTCAGAGGTAGTATTGAGTAGTGGGGATATATTGCATCTCTGGCTAAAAGTGCAGTTTGAATGAAGAGACGGTGAACTGAAGCCAAAGAGAAGCACCTCAGTCAACCATCCTATGTCAAAACGCGTTACCTGAAGTAACACATAAGCTTAGTTTGAGGTAAGTGGTATTTAGGTCTTTCACGGAAACTGATACACAATGAAAAGAGGCAGAGAGAGACATTGCTTTTTTTTGTTTTCTTTTTTGAAGTTGTAGCATAACTATAGCAAAAGAAGTTTAGATTTTGCTCCTACCTCATAATTCAGGTGAGTTCATCATGCATTATTGTTGTACCTTTTCATTAAATTACAAAGATGATGATTTTACTTATCTAGGTTCCTTCCATGCTTGGAGGCTGACACGTGTGATGTATTTCTGAATGGCATCTGGCTCTGTGGGAAGTAGATCCGACCTGGATGAGTGTTTCTCCTGACAGAGTGTGACAGGGCCAATGGGTTCCCCTACTGATATGTGTGACAGCCATAAATCTGGGAGTTGGCAACCCTCGTGTGCTTACTTCCCCTTTTGAAAAAAATGAGCGGAATCTTTTCTTGCCTGTTAGCTGAATGAAAGGACACATCAGCATTTCGTCTGGTTTAGAAATAAAAGAGTAAAAAATAACAACAACATCAAGTAAGTGTCTACAAGATTATACGAAAAGGAGAGAAGTCGTATCTATTCCTATCTTTGGTTCTAAACAGAAGCCTCACTACGCGAGCGGGTTGGGTGGTGTTGAGGGCTACAGTGTCACACACTGCGCCTTTCCTACGTGAATGCCCAGTGTCACGGCTGTGACATGATTCTTGTCTGTGTGCAGTGCAGTGATCGACTAAACCTGATTCAGAGCTTTTCTCACCCACCCACTCCTGCTTATCAGATCAACGAACTATTAGTAGGCTAAGAGAAAAGAAAACAGTAATTAAAAGTTGCATTGTTAAATGGTGTCCCCTGTGTTTACAGCAGTTTTTCACTAAACCTGGGACTGTGAAGGGATTACAAAGGTGATTAATATAGTCCTTTTTAAGGTTATGTGATTTCTCCCCCCGAGCCCCACCCCTCCCCCACCCACCCTGCCCGCCCCAGATGAAAGTGGAAAGACCATGGCAACAGAAAGTAAGTGGTCACTGCAGTGTCTTCTCCCTTCAAAAGATCCAACTGCTGCTGAGGTAGAAATCAAACGTGGGCGCCCCCTAATCCTCTTCTGCAGACTCTTGTGAGGATGTCTCTTCAGTCTCCTCCTGGAACACACAAAGGCCACAAGCATTAGACCGCGTGGGCTGCGCTTACACAGTTCAGGGGGGACCTGTGCCCACAACACACTGTGCTCACTTCAATAGAGAATGAGGATGATTGGCAGGCCCCGCATTCCCAGGGCTTCTAAATCGGTCACTGAGGAATCAAGGTGTTGTTTTTCCCCAGAACAGTCATGAGCCCCTGTTGACTTAAGGCCTGATATCAAGGTGGCTGGTCAGCAAATTCAATTGTTTGCAGTCCAGAGAATGTCAGGCCAGTGGAAGCTTCCTCACCAATTAGGGTAAAAAAGAAATGGGTGACTTTTTCCCCACAGCATGCCACTCATCAGTTTTAAAAACCAGCGTGCAAGCAAGAAAAACAGAGTCCAGGAGACCCTTACTTAGGCATAAATATAGGAGTCCTTCAGGTATTGGTAATAAGAGCTGATGCTCTTATGGTGACTACTAGATGCTTTTAGGGACTATCTGCTATTATTCCCATTATACAGGTGAGAAAATCAATATACCCAGAGTTACATGGTGAGTAGGGCCAGGAGTAGAACTGTCCGATGGGCTTCGGAACCTGTGTGTGGCCCCAAAGCATCCGCGACCAAGTAGTGGTCGCGTGAGTGGAGGAGGGGGCCTGAGCTCAGGCTGCAGGGGCTGCCTGCTCACGTCCTCTCTAAACGGGGTTCCTCAGTCTCATATGCATGAAAGTACATTTTAAGACAATGACCAACATTTGGCATCACTGCTCATTCTCAATGCTAAGTCCAAATCAACCAAACATTTAATGCTGGCTGGCCAAGCAGAGAAAATCTAATCTATATGTTTTTGCAGAGCTTCGTCTTCATATAAATCTAATTCCTCCTTCTCTTTCCTTTTTTTCTGATTCCTTGTGGTTCTGGAATTTGTTGGAGTTTTTGCAAGCCAGCTCGAGCCACACAGTCCTCTTTTCTTTTGCTTATTTTACAAATGTGCAGTACCTCTCAGGACATGGGTGGTAAAGCGGAGACAATAAACATTTCTGATAAAAGCGTCGTTAGCAAAAGGATGATTTTTATCAAATGCTGCACACTGTCTCCTACGACAGCATGTGAAAAAGATCCGGGAGAAGAGGTAAACATTTACCCCGGCAGCAAACCGAGCCCCTTTAAGAATGGCCGGCTTAAAACAGCTTCTAGCAGTCTTCATACTTTAATAGATTTGATTTTCCACATGGCTTCATTTTGTCTGGGTGGCTAACTGACACAATTTATACCTCTCTTCCTTCCCCAGGTCACCACAGCACACCATTCAGTAACGCATGCCTTAGAGCTTGTCTGCATTATATGACCAAACCCCCATTCATTAGTGTTTGAAACACTTCAGCTGTGAAGGGGCTCCTAACTGCTACCAGGTGTGACGCTTCTGCGTAAACGCAGCAAACGGGAGGAAGAGAGCCCACGTGAGCGGGCACTCACTCACATGAATGCGCGCGCACACACATACACAAAGCGCACACACACATGCATGCACATGTGCACACAAGCGCACACACGTACACATGCACACACATGCATGCACACGTGCTCACGCACATACACACACACACACATACGCGCGCACACACACTCACGAACTCCATCCTGGGCTTTAATCACAGGCCACTGCTTACTGCAAACCTTTTGCAAACGGTTTCAAACATTCTTCCCCCCCAAAAATGGAGAGAGCTGTAAATCCTGGGCCCAAACACACCTACCAATGAATGGGTTACAGCTTAGAAAATATAACCACGGCAGTATCAAGTCACGAGATTTCACACCCGTTTTGTTTAGTCTGCTTCGGGCTATGTGGGAAATGTGGAACGTGTGAAGCTACCTCCCCTCTACTCCCAACCCCCGAACTTCGGGCTTCACCCTCCTCAGCAGCACGTTTCTACCTCCTGATAGGCAACGGGCCATGACCCCAGGATTCTCTATGGAGTCCTGGCCACAAAGGGGGATGTAGCCTGACCAAAGCCACGGACACACGAAAGAGAGACAGGCCGAGGTTCAGCTGCCCGTGACCTTCCCTTTTCACTTAGTATTTAAACCCCAGAAAGTCACTAAGCTGTTTGGCAGATATACCCTTCCCCCGGCCCCGGCCCGCCGTGTGGAGTGAGGGTGTTACTCTGAAACAGGCCATCGCATAAGAGGGGACAGGTATTACTTTATTCCTTCTTCTCCTGGTTAATTAATTAATAGGACTCAGCAAGGCTGGAAACCCTCCTCCTGGATCTAACGGTAATGACTCCATTTCTTGGTGTTTCTAGTCTACCTGGAAACCTCTTCTAAATCCAGGAAACAGAATTTTTCAGGCCATGAACTCACAGAGACCTCGGGGCAGATGGAATGTGATCAGTTGTTCAGAACATTTCCAGAAACTTTGTTTAATTTGAGCTCTTGAAGCTCCTGATATGCAAGTAGTTTATTCAAACCCCTTAGACAGAACTCAGCTAAAAAGGATGGTCCCTCGTACTACTTCCTTAACAGTTCTTAACACAACACAACGGTTCTTTTACTAAGGTATCTTTCCACTGACCTTGAAATGCTTCTACTTGGAGCTGTTGGTTACAGCACTGGGTCCATAACTGGATCTCAGAGGGTGGGAGCTCACACTCCATTAAACTTTTGGAAGCAGTGTGGCTCTCACATGCTCAAAGCAATGGTTTTCTCCATCGGCTACGTAGCGGAGAGCTCTCTCTCTTCTTCGCGTAGCTCTGACGGCCACTCTCCACAGGACAGCCTGGCTGCCACGAGGATGATGTGGGCAGGGCGCATGGCACTCACCTCTATAAACCTCACCTTTCCAGGGACTTGGTTGCTGTGACCAAAGTGTGCATGTGGTTGAGAGAAGAAAAATCCTCCCTGTCAGGAAGAAAATTGAAAACCCACTCTCAGCCGCCCTGTGTCCTGGCCAGGCAGACTTCCCAGAAGGCTCTTCTGTCCCCAAAGAATCTTACTTCCATAGCAGAGCAGCTGCTAGGGCTCCTCAGATCCATCCCTCTTCATTAACGTAGAAGTAACATAACATACGAGCCACTTCTTGTAGACACAGCTTGCACCTTGAGATATGTATTGACACCGCTTCATATTTGCCACATAAGCCAAAGGGCTTTTCAGTTTGTGTAGCCCCACAAGAGAGCAGCTCTGAGGCAATAAGGAGAAATACTGTAGCCAAGAATCGTGTACATTTCAATAGGGGCTTGTCGGGGACGTGGGAAGGCTGAATAGCAGCAGTCGGGTCAAGAAGGCTCAGTCCACCCTGCCTGGTTGGACTCAGTGGATAGAGCATTGGACTGAGAACTGGAAGGTCCCAGGTTCGATTCCGGTCAAGGGCACATGCTCAGGTTGTGGGCTCGATCCCCAGTAGGGGGCATGCAGGAAGTAGACGAGCAATGATTCTCTCTCATCATTGATGTTTCTAGTTCTCTCTCCCTCTCCCTTCCTCTCTGAAACCAATAAAAACATATTTAAAAAAAGAAAGAAGGCCCAGTCCTGGAATGGCGCTTCTGGAAGGGAGGCTAAAAGGATTTCTCAAAATGGAAGTGCACTGTGACATTTTTATGAGCACCAGCCACCAAGGGCTTTAAATACTGAACTGCTGGCCACCATTCACGCACTTATTTCATAAAGACAACTGAGGCTGCACCCTACTGGGGCGAAACATGGGAATTTTTTGGCACAAAACTGATGAGTGGGAAAGGAAAGTGGGCAGAGTTGGAAAACTATATTTTTATTATGACTATTGGAAAATTGCACTCATTTGCCTTAGTTTTCCTTTGCAAATGGGGGGAAAATGGAATTTAATAAATGTAACTCTTTCATTGCTTTGGTTACGTTTAGAAAAGAACTCACTACATCCTAGAAATACGGTATGCACCTAATCTTAATTCTTTTTTAATATGGTTAGCACCCATCTTCATTAATTTTAATTAACTTATGGCATTCGTTCTTTTTAATGCCACAGAATGTGCGTGGTGGCATATACCTTTGGGTGTGCTTCCTCTGATTGATCCCAAAGGAGGAAGACAGCCCAATATCCAATCCCATCTCCTAATGTTTGATGGAATTTTAAGATGTCTTAAGAGTTGAATCCTCGATCTCACCACAGAGCCATGGTAGGGGTGGAGCTGGAGGAAAGCTCAGTATCTGGGTTTAATTTTCATGTGCAGACTAAATAGCAGGTCTGCAGTGGGAGACCACTGAACCCTAAATAGAATCGCGAAATGGAAATAGCCGCCCTGCAAACTTGAGGAGTTGTGTCACCAGGATGTCCCTCTTTGTGTGTAGTAAGGAGTCTGTGTTGGCTTCAGTCAATCCTTCTATTTTCCCCCTTGATTGCAAAGAATTCTGCAACGTTTACTATAAGATGTTGCAGGATAAAAACATAAGATTTTTAATTTAAGTTACCTTGCAAAAACTCCCCCAAACCCTACAAATATCTGATAATTTAGAAATGGTTTCATGACATCCTCCTTTTGTTATCTTAATTTGTTGAATTCCTTAAGGACTTGGAATGACACCTTTAAGATATTTTCATGTCCACGACTATCCTGAGCCAGTCCTGCCAGAGCAGAAATAAAGGGCTCTCCTCGCCGGCAGCAATGACCAGAAACCACCACCATTCCGTCTCGACCCACCAGACCACAAAGCTGAGTGTTTCTATTTCTCTGTCAGATATTTTAACTTCCAATGGATTGGGACTGTTTGACTTAATGGAAAGTGATTACTTCCTCCAACTAGGAAAACTTTATATTAGGTTTATAAAAAATACATTAAACGGAACATATATAAACCATAGGATCTGGCAACTGATTCTGGTGGAAAGGTTAGGAGGCAAATCTGTTTTGCAAAAGGAGACAGAAGAAGTTGGGATGTTTATGGCAGCTGTCCCCCATCTTTTCTCTATTGTAGCTTTATGTATATAAAAATATAGAAGTATCAGGACTTCCTTGCATGTGTTACCATCAGCTTAATGCAGTC